GGGGCTGCCGGCCCTGGCAGAGGCCAAGCCATCTTCCCCCCGTTAGAGACTGGAAACGCCATGAGCAGGGATGATAAATGGCACTGGAGCCAGGCTGCCGTTTGTTTTGTGGGCCTTCGGGAGCGTGTGATGCTTCGTATGGCTTCAAGCAGCACCTTGTGTGGCCCAGGAAAGGGTGTTTCAATAGTTCGGATACGGGCTGTTGGACTGGAAACCCCTGGCAGGGGGTTAAGTGAAGAAAGGAGGGGTAGGAAGCAGGAACTTCAGGGCTAGATACTTCTTTTCTAAGCATCAAGAGAAGGCATACAAGAAAGTGTATTTACCAGACTCCCTAACATCCATTTGGAACCTCAGAACCTTTCCCGTCAGCTTTTGTGGCATATAGGAACTTGCCTGTAGACAGAAAGAGCCTTCACTTTAACTTCATCATCTGTCCCTGCTCGCCTGGTGAATTTGTGCGTTGCAGCTGTTAACAGGGGAATTACTTGCTTTGTGTGCTTGTCCCGCGTGCCTGAGGTAACAGCAAACTTCTTCATATTAATCAGAAGCAGAAAGTACTCCTGCTTCAAAGCATTAGGAGTTTGGGAAAAAAAAATCACATTGTCAATGCAGTGTTTTTTTTTTCTATTACAATCCCCTATGCTGACAAATAAATAAGTAGTAGCATCACCAGAAGCAGAAAAATATTAAAAAAAAAAAAAAAATCCAAAAAAGCAGCCCCTAAACCCTTGAAGTGCTAATGAGTCATGGGGAACAATAAATCAAACTGCTGGTAGGAGAGATACCTTTAGATATTTATGTGAGGAACTTCTGACTCGTTTAGGATCAGACTTAATGACTGTAAGTGAGATGTGGAGAAATAGAAAATTCAGTATTGAATCTAGTGATAGGACCAATCTTACAGTTAGAAACCTTTTTTTTTTTTTTTAATATAAAACAGTGAATTGATTTAGGAAGATAATGGAAGACGTGAAAATAAAACTCAGCAAACACCGAGTGTTGAGCAAGGATCAGTTCTGAATCAGTCAGAAGGAATGGTATTAAAGGAGGTCTAGCATGTTATATAAGTTATTGAATCAAATTTATTATAATTTGAAGATTAAAATCAAAGCTGAGTGAGACTTTTTGCCTTTAAAGTGAACTCTGCTAAGAATGGAAATCTTGTTATAATTATAAACGTACTGTTTTGCCAAAAAAGTGTGATAGTGCAACACTAAATTTGTTCTGGTGCTGGATGTGTACCCAGGATTAGTACTAACATAATTGTATCTATAGTTTTACAAGTAAAAAACCCAGACCTTGAGAACCCGTTAGTGACTTGCCGTTTTTTTTTAAATCCATTGAGTGATATTCAAGCTCGTCTGTCGTGTACTTATCCTTATGTTTTGTATTCACCCGTTGACCTTCAGGCAATTTTAATTAGAAAGTATGAAGGTAAAGGAGGAGACCTGATCTCATACGTAAGCTGCCTCATCTCTGTCTATCTCTTTGGGCAACATAGTAGTCAGTCTCTAATAGGCTACTAAAATTTTTAGTACTTGAGTAGGTATCGGCGAAGAAACTGTGTTTTGTTGATCCTTCTGCACACTTACTTTCTGCTTAGGAAGGATTCTTTATGTTTCTGCATCTTGGTATAGGTCTTACAAATGTTGCTTTGAAATAAATTACAAGATAGTTATTTACTGCTAATGTGCCAGCTGGCTTGTTACAAGCAGGGTTTTAATTATGAGGAATTTTTTAGTTCAAACATTTTTCAGATGGTTTACAGAGTGGACTATGCCTTATTTCCTTGCAGGCGTCTTCCTTACCTTCTGTGTCTGCATCATAGATAGCTGTTTCGCAGCTACAGTGATCACCAGCCGCTTATCTTATTCTACTTGTGCAAATTGTCTCCTCAGAGTTAACTGAGAATTATAAGGGTTTGGAGTGTGGCGTTGGTTTTTTTTTGGTTCAGATTTGAGATAAAAACCTTTTTTCCCTTCTCTAGGCATTGAGAGCTTTATCTAGATTTTAAAAATGGTGTTGCTGCATGACTCTGAATTTAGTTTCGTGTAACGTTAGGTTGTGTCGTTGTGTTCTGTATGCTATATGTAATTGCTTGGATGTTTTGGGACAGCTTTGCAAGAAACTCCGTATCTCACATGAGTGAACAGCTAAGTGAAAGTATAAAATCTGCAGTCGCTACGCGTAGGGAATCGTGTTCAAAGTCATGAGAAAATTTCTCTCTCTTTGCTTGGGTACGGTCAGGAGCAGTGCAAAGGGTGGGCAAACGGCGTCCTCTGCTCTCCTGCGGCGCATGCGGCGAGGCTTCTGGTTGTGTCATCTTGTGCACCAGGGAGCTCTCAAAAAGTGCTAACTGCCTTCTCACAACAGACATGCACAGGAAATCCTGTCACACCTATTCTTCCAGTAGTTACAGGAAAGGCTTTTTTTTGTTTATTTTGAATATCAGTTAGCTGTTTCTTGTCAATTAACACAGATGCAGGGTCTCCTGCCAGGCTGTGAGGAAGGGCTGTTGCTGTAGGACCTTCCCCTAGTCAGGCCGCTACTGCTGTAGGACCTTCCCCTGGTTGGAGTGCCATTTTGCTCTTAGTAAAACCAGTGCTTTAATTAAACCAAAAAGGTAAGGGTACTCACTTGCGGCGCCTCCTGCCGTTTTGGCGAGGGGGGAAATCTGGCAGTTCTAATGTTTTCTTTTAAGTTGTTTTAATTTAATTAAACTTTTTTTCTCTGAATCTGTGAAGACCTGAGTATCTGACAGCTTACATTTCAGGGAGGGTGGGGAAGCCAGGCTGTCTCTCTAGAAATGATGTGACATACCAAATGTGAAATTTTAGAAATGAGAGAAAGGTCTCTTATTTTCTTCCAATAGTAATTGGTGGTTCTAGCAAGTAGCTGAAAATACTTGAGTTAATTGTGACTTTCGTCTAGCTCAAGAAAAAATAGCTTTTTGTAAGTAGTTAGTTCAATTCCTTTACAGTTGTACTGAAGTGCAACTTCCGTAGCCAAAGTGACCTAGAAGATCTGTATGCGTATCTGCCGTCACCTCTGATGTCTGTTGTTTGACAAATATTCGAATAATGAAATTCTATTACAGGTCTTGCTTGTTTTCAAAAGACCTTGTACAGTGATTGTGACTCTTTCCTGCAGTTTTTGTTACTATATCCTTTAAACACCTGTGTACAACAGAAAAGGGATTGTAAAGCTTTCACTTTTACAGCTTATTTTTCAGACAAAGTTTGGGGAGTGAAGGCCTCAGATGCAGAGAGGTATTGTGTCTATGATGTTAGTTTTGATTGTTGAGCTTGGTTTTGTTTCTTTGTTTCCACTCTTATTCCTCTACTTGGTTGGTCTTAATTTTTCCATATGTCTTTGGACCTGTGGCTGGGTTGTTTTTTTCCTTCTAATTAAAATAAGTCCTTTCCGTGTGTTTTACTAAATTATAATTCAATATATTTAACCTTTTGTTTTTAAGGTGAAAAAGAAAACTGTCTAATCAAAGAGCAAAGATGCAGAGCACTTCGAATTACCTCTGGCTGTTGTCTGACGTTCTAGGACAGGGAGCTACTGCAAATGTTTTCCGGGGACGACATAAGGTTTGTGGGAAATTACTAATGTGTAAAATTGAAACTTTTTCATATGTGAGTAGCGTAATGAGATCAACTGTTCAAGATTTAGGCCTAAAGCAAATGTCTTTGTAACTATTCATACTTAATTTTTAAATTTTTAATATTCATCCATTGAAATAGTTCTATACAGTTATTTCTGAGGATTTGGTTTTAATATTTAATTATTTTTCCTTGTAAAATATTAACCGTTATTAATTCTTCATTCCTCTGTTCTTCAGTTTTATGGAAAAAGCTACTCCTTGCTTAAGAATTTAAATACAAATAAAAGTCGTATCAGTTTTTGTTACATTGTATGTTAGTTTTATCTTTGTTAAATTCTCTTTTCATGTTTTTTTTTCTGTTCTTTGTGAGTTTTTTTCCCCCATTTTTTGTGCTTTTATGATTTTGTACTGTAAGGGAAATATTCTTAATATATTACCGTATCAGATGAAGTTACTGTTAATCTTTGTCTGCAAGTCAATGCTTCATACGTGTCTAGGACACCATCTTCTTGGTGACATGCCTTGAGTAATCAGTACAAAATTGTACATCTTTGAGCAGTTTTGCCATGTAAATGGTATACTGATGTGTATGTTGTAACCTGAGTGAGGGGCTAAAATGACCTTACTTGTGTAGGTCATTCCGTTCCCGTGAATTTCACAGAATATCTCACAAAATGAAGATAAGCCTAGTTATGAAAGTAATGTTTCCTTCTAGTAACGACAGTCTGTATGAAATCAATATGAAGCTACAATGTTTTCTATGTTCCACGTTTAGCTGTGCAGCAACACTGCGCAATAAATTGAATTTAGCAGTTCATGTCTTTTCTGAGGGAGTGAATTTCAGCACACAATGATTCCCCTGTAAAGCTTATGGTTTCATGGTTGCATTTCTCGTCACCGTTACTAGTCTGAGAGCATGACCTGCAGCTCATTGTCGATGGGAGAAGACTTTCACCTGGGTCCTAGTAGTGCACTTGAGTGTGTTGTACAACACACACCTAGTATAAGCACAGGAAGGTTTTGTCCTTAGAAAGAATCTGTCTCACACAAGACTGCTAATCTAAGCTTATTTCTAGAGTGCACACAGGGAGGTATTTTGACCTAAGAGGGACAGGAGTTGCACTCTCAGCTGGTGTTGTGGGTGCCTGAGCATGTTGGGGCTTAGTCCCACTTGAGAACTTAAGTCTCCGATTAAGCTCATGACTGTGCTCCTGTCACTTATTCTGTGGGTTTGAATTGCTTCAGGATTTTGTATGAGTGGTATGTAGTGCTCAACACTGCCTTCTCTGAAAAAACAAAATACTGCTTTACCAGTATAAACAGAACAATAAAGAAAGAGAGCAATGTTCAGCTTCCAAAAGTTGCCTCTTAACTTAAGCAAGCCAAGACTCTCAACTGTAGTATGTGGATGTCTCTTACTGATTTGTGCAAGTGGCTTACCTCTTGGTGAATAATTATTTTTCAGATAAGTTTATGGGTCATTCTTAAATGTGTGTAGCCTTTCTTATGCTAACTATTCTTTTTTCAAAAGCACTTAGATTTTGTGGGCTAACCTTGAGTTTCCATTCTGATAGTCTGTTTGCTTCTAGTCTATATTACCCTAAACCAATATATACATAATTTTTTTAAGGAGAATTTTAATTTCCACCTTAACACAAATTTCTATTTTGAACTATTTCTAATCTGGGTACGCTCGTATGCACAGCAGAAGATCTCAAAGTGCTTGGATAGTAGGTATGTGTACATTTACAATCTTATGCTTCTGTTTTATCTGTAATTTGTTTGTTTGTTTTGAACAGAAAACTGGGGATTTATATGCTGTCAAAGTATTTAACAGTATAAGTTTCCTTCGTCCTGTGGATGTTCAGATGCGAGAGTTTGAAGTACTGAAGAAACTGAATCATAAGAACATTGTCAAATTGTTTGCTATCGAAGAAGAGGTAATGAATTGTTGTAGTTGTGATCTGAGATGAGTGGTAGTAACCACAGTAACTGTCTTTTTGCTTTATCCTGAACTATAGAGGATAAAGTTACATTTTTAAAGAATGGTAACATGTATGATGATTTAAACCACCACCACTGGTTTTTGTTTTTCTCTTTTTGTCGTTGATAGAATGTGCTTGCTTTCTGTGTTCAGGCACGTGTTATGATTCTTCCAAGGCATTTCAAGAAGCCGCTGTCCTAAGCTTTGTCTCGAATTAGGATTTTTAAGCTATCTATGTGTATGAATATTTAATACATACTGATAGTTGGAGGTGTTTCAGTAATCCTGGCAATTTTATGCTTTTGCTTTGCAACCAACTAAAATAATGATGTAGGATATGAAGAACTGTATGTTAGTATGAATTGTAGTAGTTGTACTGAAACTGAGACTGATCAGTTGAAATGACCCAGACGCTGAGATTAGCAAAGAGGAAAGAAGGACTATTGCTGTTCTCTGCTCTTCTGTGCTGTAGTTTCTCATTTGTCCACCTATCAGTACTGCTGTCAACCCTCTAAGTGCCTAGAACTTGAGGCTTTTTTAATTTTTTCCCCTCTCCAATTTAGAATACATGAAACAACACAAAAATTGACCTGCACTTCTTTTGAAGATTGCCAGAATGGGATTTATGATCTAGCTACACATTTTATTTTTCTTTTTTTCAAAGTATGATCTTTTGGTTATATATAATTTCTGACATTGTTTTCACAGTAGTCACAGACTTACCTTTTTAATTTTTTTTTTTTCAGACAACAACTAGACACAAAGTACTAGTTATGGAATTTTGTCCATGTGGGAGTTTATATACAGTTTTAGAGGAGCCATCTAATGCCTTTGGTTTGCCAGAGTCTGAGTTCTTAATTGTTTTGAGAGATGTGGGTATGTAGACTTTGCCCTTTAGTCTAATTTGTTGACTGAAATTAACTCATACTTGTTTTGTTTATCTTGAAACAGCAAGGAATTTGAATGACTGTCAACTAATTTAACAAATTAATATGGTCATATGAAGTCACATCTTTTATTTATGCCTATATTGGTATAGATAGCTGCATTCAGCAGCCATTTCTGTTTAAAGTGTTGCTATAATTCTTGTTTGTTTGTTTCAAGATATTTCTCACGTGTTGAACTCATTAGTGGTGATAATTAATCTCAAAAGGCTAAACTAGAAAAATAATGAGGTTTACCTGTGCCTGCCTGTTTCAAAATTTTCCTCCATTACTTTAATGTTGCTCAGAGAAAAAAATATCGTAATTTAGCTGTTTGAAAGGAAAAAAGGCAAAAATGCTTAGAATGCTCTCTGGTCCTGATCTTTTTGTTAATTGAGTATCCCCTCTTGTTCCTGTTTCCCAATGAGAAAGTAAACACGTGTGCCTTCCTAGCCTCATTTACAATTCAGTGCTTGTGTAGTCTGTGTCAAGATGCATACCTAAATTCTGTATTTTTATATTTTTTTAATTTAAGTGGCTGGGATGAATCATCTCCGGGAGAATGGAATAGTGCACCGTGACATCAAACCAGGCAATATAATGCGCGTTATCGGTGAAGATGGTCAATCTGTTTACAAACTTACAGACTTTGGTGCTGCAAGAGAACTCGAAGATGACGAACAATTTGTTTCTCTCTATGGCACAGAAGAGTATTTAGTAAGCTCATATGATTTCACTTTCTGTTGAAGAAATGTTTGAAGCCTAGGGCCCTTTGTTAGGAGAGTTGAATAGGTGAAGGTCAGACTGTTGGGAATAGTATTTAAACCTTTGTATTAAAATTGTTTTTATAACTTTCCACCTTTTTCACCTTGAGTCATGCCAGTTCTGCTGATCTGAGCACAATAGCCTTTAAAGAATTTCCATGTCCAACTTCCACTTTTGCCTTGTGTGAAAGGAAGAACGTCAGTATTTAGTTATGAATGTCTTTGCCTTTATCTTGGTAGATATTTTTCTGTTTGTATTTAAGCTACTTGGGTGATGTTAGGGGTCGTTAAGATTCACTTGACATCTTTGTTAACCAGAGAGAGGCAGGCAGAGAAGCATCAATACAAGCATCTCAGGCATAACTTTCTTCCTGCCATGTTTTCCCGCTGTATTGTTTTAACTGATATTCTCCTCTGCTATGGATCTTTTTCCAATTTGGTTTCTGTTATTTCAGAATCATCTGGAAGAATACTGTCTTTCTCCTCTTCTTTAGTGGTGTTTTATTCTAGTAGTCAATCTTTAGATAAATTTAAAAATATTTTTGCAAATCTTGAATAAAAGTGGCTGTCATACCTAGGAACACTTTCATAATATTCTGTCAGAATAACTTAAGCACGTTCTATGATACAAGCTAACTTTGTTTTTTTTTATTAAAGAGCTGAAAGTTTAGAATGACAAATTACCTTCCTGTGAAATGATAGATTGGGTGTTTGTTCTTTATATTGTTCATAAAGCAATTCTAACTTCTGTTTTCCTGTTTTTTTCTCTTTAGCATCCTGATATGTATGAGCGAGCAGTTTTGCGGAAAGAGCATCAGAAAAAGTATGGAGCAAGAGTTGATCTGTGGAGCATAGGGGTGACCTTTTACCATGCTGCAACAGGGAGTTTGCCTTTCCGACCTTTTGAAGGACCTCGTAGAAACAAGGAAGTGATGTAGGTAATTTAGAAGGAGAATTTTACCTGTTCATCAATTAAGTCAGTCCATTAAATGCTTTTTATCAAGAAATCCTACACACATATAGTAAACATTAAAATACTGAAAATTTTTAAGGAAAAACATTCTTTAACTTTGTGGTTTAGCCCCAATAGGCAGCTAAGCACCGCACAGCTGTTTGCTCACTTCCCTGCAGTGAGATGAGGAAGAGAATAGGGAGGGTAAAAGTGCGAAAACTCGTGGGTTGAGGTAAAGACAGTTTAATAAGTAAAAAAAAACAACAACCAAAAAAAAAACGAAACAAAAAACCCCCCAGCAACCCACCACCGCCACCACCCCTAAACTCAAAGGAAAACAAAACCAAGAAAAAACAAGTGATGCAAAAAAACTCCCACCCAGTTGCACACCACCAGCCAACTGATGCCCAGTTAGTCCTTGAGCAACTGCCAGCCTGGCAATTTTCCCCCTCGGATTTTATTGCTGAGCATGATGTTGTATGATAGGCAATATCCCTTGGGGTCAGCTGTCCTTGGTGTGCCCCTTTCCAGCTTGTTGCCCGTCCCCAGCCTACTCACTGGCAGGGCAGTGAGAGATGTAGAAAAGGCCTTGTCTCTGTGTAAGCACTGCTCAGCAATGGCTAAACCATCCCTGTATTACCAACACTGTTTTGGTCACAAATCCAAAAGACAGCACCACATAACTACTATGAAGAAAATTAACTCTGTCCCAGTCAAAACCAGTACAAACACTCTGCTTTGACAAGGATTTTACTGTGTGGCACCTTAAGACCAGAATTGAGCATCAGAGCTCCCCCCAAATATGGATGTTTTTCCACACGTCTTTCCTTCACCATGGCACTAGGCTGGTCTGTTGCAGTGTGGTGTATGTAACTTGGATATTCAGGCAAAGTTACGGTATTCTGAAATGGGTTTTCAGTGCTGCAAATTTTTGTCATCCTTTAAATGATTGTCTTCCCAGGCAGTCTTGAAATGCATGCACTACCCATGAGACTGACAGTTTTTGAGTAGCAGAGTCATGGACTGTGGCTGAAGATAACAAGGGTAGCTCCTGAATGGGAAACCGAAGTTGTGTCTAGGACGTGCCAGTTGGAGTTGATTCCTGTTTCATCTTAGTCTAGTTCTATTTTGTTATTGTTCTGTGTGTTGCATTTGAAAAATAAATTGAGGTGGTACTTGGGAACTCTAATAACATCTCTGTTCTGGCACTCCTTGCAAAGCTGACTCCAATTTTCTTAGTTTAAGGAACTGCCCATCCTGTGATTGTCTCACAGGCATTCTTGTTGTTGTATCTGCTTGTGAGATAAGCAAGGAACTTGTGTTCCTTGTCCTTCAAAGATAGCGAAACTGAAACTTTCTGTTGCAGAAAGCCTATCGCCCCTGATTCGTTTCATGAGAAATTTGAGAAGTACTAACCTGTTCAGTATGATGTTAGACACTGCTAAATTGTATCCAAATTGCTAGATGTTTCCACATTAAAGTAATTTGTCAGCCCACCTCCTGTTCCTTCATTATCGCCAAGTGACTGTGGTGGCTAAGTGCCATCTCTTGCCATGGAACATGCTAGAAATTGGTCATGTTAATGCCGCCTAAATTGAACTGCCTTGGAAATCTGACTTCAATTAACACTTGTAAAAAAACTTCAGCTTCCTTCAGTGATGCCTGAAGTATTTTCTAAATTTTTCCCAAATCCGAGGGAGACAAAATTACGTCTCCAACATAGCCCGAAGTGTTTCCTTTTCATCGTTTGCTATTTTTAGCACCATTCTTTGTCAGCTTGTAAGTGAAGATTCCCAATTATTGCACCACCTACAAATTTAAGGCCAATCTATTGTTTAGATTTATGTTATTGATAACCCTTTGAGGATTAGTGACTAGACCTATGTATCTACAAGAGGTAGTAGTTGATGTCTATTATTTTTGTAATGTGTTGCAGGTATAAAATAATCACAGGAAAGCCTTCTGGTGCTATTTCTGGAATACAAAAAGCAGAAAACGGACCAATTGAGTGGAGCCGGGAGATGCCTGTTTCTTGTAGTCTTTCAAAGTAAGTTTGAACTTCTCAAAAAGTGTGTTAATGCTTCTTGATTGGGCTTTTTCAGTTATTCTCCCAGGACTGGGTCTTTGGAACAGAGATCTGACTGTTGCAGTTGTTTCCTTTGAAATCTTCAGTACATCGATACAGTCTCTATTAGGTTATCAAGTGTTTTTTCTTCCTGTCTGTCCAAGTAGTTTTATGACTGCTAATTTACAAATGAGCACCTGAGAATCTGAAGTGGTATGAGTAGAAGAAAGATTATTACTATATTTTCTCCACCCTTAGGAAGGAGTATGAAGATTTAATAAACTTTGAATTGATGGCCCCCGTTTCTTGGAAGAATATGAATTCAAACACTACAAAGATTAGGTGGTAGGAAGGAAATTACAAGAAAAGACAGTTCAGACACTTGCATTTTTGCCAGAAAACAATTCACATTAGCACATTTAACATTCTCATAGTATCTTTTAAATTTTTTTATCATCATATTTTTGCTTCATGTGTCATCATAATACTCAGTAGGAAGAGCCATGGAAGATCTAATCTCAATATGATCTTAAAAACACCTCCCATAACCCATTTACATGTTTATCTTCCAAAGACGATTTCAGTACTTGAAAATTACTACTCTTTCATAGTAAAGGGAGAAGCAAATTGTTCTGTGAACAGACTCTAGAAACAAACTTTTCAGAAAGCCAAATACATAGATCCATAAGCGATGTAGAGTGAAAGTCTGGTTTATATAAATTCATTAGTTTATAGCGTGCAGAACTTGCAATTTATATATATTTTTCATGACACTGCTCAGTTGTTTCCTCTGCCTATTTCATATAATTGAAGTGCTTTAAAATAATAAAGGAAGCGGATTCTTTCATTAAACATCTGTTTACAGTAATACTTTCAAGTAGCATTTAAACCGTATTTACTGTTGCAAGTTTAGTACTAAAGCGAGTTTGAGCACAGCGCCCACTGATCTCACAGGGGCTGTTGGTGTGCTCGTAAGCCTCTGGAGCTTACTTCAAAACGTTACCAGTCCTACTGCTGCGTCCAGGTTTGACGTGCACATATTGTTAAAAGTTTGAAGAAGTTGCTCATGATAAGACAGGAGCAGGATCCATAAAGTTCCTTGCAATTCAGATTCTTAAAGTAGAAATACAAGAAATTTAAGCTGGCCTTTCTCCTAGAACAGTGATGACTGTAAGGCAACAGTTGCACTTTTCTTTGCAGCCATTGAGCTGCATGTGTGGAGTACTTATTTAGCCCCATCTCCATCAGGACGAATTCTGTTAGTGCTGACAATTTACATAATGAGTCTTTGCTGACCCAGCTGATTTTGGTTGAAAGCAATGTAGTGTGCTCAGGCAAGCAGCTCAGCCAGCAGACCATAAATGGCAGTAGCTTCCTTCAGACTGATAAACTGGTAAGTGTGTGGGGTGGGCTGGGTAAAAGACTACTGCCCAGCAGTGGTAGAAGGTGACCTTAGCTCTGCAATGTAGACTTCCGTTTTCCCAATCCTTATGAAATTTGTCCAATACCAAGGCAAATATATTCGATGGTTGAGCCTTGAAAGAGATAAAGTATGTGTATTAATGAAAAACAATGGGCGTTACTATTGAACATTTTGTTGTTCAGTAGAGGGAGAAAGCATGGGAGTATTCTTCAAGGGATAATAGATTTGCATCCATGAGACAAGCCAAATGAAGTATTGCGATTGGTTACAAGGCGAAAAGATCTGAGTAGATCTAAGTTGTCATATCTCTTCTTGGTGTCCTCTAGGGGTCTGCAAGTGCTGCTCACACCTGTCCTGGCGAATATTCTTGAAGGAGACCAGGAAAAATGCTGGGGTTTTGACCAGTTCTTTGCAGAGACGAGTGACATACTACACCGAATGATAATCCACATCTTTTCATTACAGCAGATGACCTTGCACAAAGTTTATATTCACAGTTATAATACGTAAGCATTCTCTCCATTTTCATTGCTTTGCTGTTACTGAGTCAAACAGTACCGTGACCTCAGATCACCAGTGTTACAAGTTCAGTAGCCTTTCCTTGGCGGTTTATCTGAGGAAGTGAAAGCTTGTAATTCTCCTGTGTAGTCACAGTGCAGAGGAGCATGTTGACCGTAAAATATTTCAACTAAAAATAAAATCATTGAAGGTCAAATCAACGGATTTTAAACTTGGTCTTCATCAGTGACAGAACACAGACTTAATCCTTGACATGTTACAATGTATCTATGTTTTTAATGGATACCAACTCATCCCACATTGGTATATATTACATACTTACCAAGTAGTTTTCCAGAGACCCTGTTCAACTCTCCCTTTTCTTATCTTGTCCTCTAGAATACAAAACGCGCACATCATCTGTGTCATAAAACTTTCACAGGGATTCTCAAGTTGTACATGGTACAATTTAGGATCCTGAGTTATATAGAGTTCACTTTACGGTCATTAAGTGCTGATGTGAAAAGCTGTAATGTCTGGTTTACAGTTTGATACAAAAGTAAGTGCCGTTTGTCTGCCTTATTACAGATAATACAGAGCATGTGCTTTTCTCTGATATGTGAACAGATACAGTTATTTTATCAAATGTGTAAATACAGTTCTAGCCTTTTCCAATTTTTCTTTTCTATTCTGTCATTTCCATTTTGAGAAAGCCCAAATACTTTTTCACATGGGAAATCTTGCTTGTAGCTCAAACTGCTATTTATACTTTGTTTTTAAAATTTATTTTATTATTATTTACCTTTATCATTATTTATATACTAGTTGTAGTATTAAGAAGAGGCAGCGTACTAGTGCTGCACAGGAGGCAAATTGGTCCTTCCTGTTAGTGTGCTTAAGGTTTTTTTCTTTGTTGGAAATTTTGTTTGTTTGTTGATTATTTGTGGAGGGGACAGAGGGAGAGGAGAGGTTTGTTATAAATTCTTATGGCTTGTATGTGTTGATTGCTGAAAATAAAATACCAAAGTGTCTTTGATCTTCCTTATCACTGCTGTTTTAGGAGATAATTGGGCTGTCTGAAAGTTTAGAGGCTGAGTTTAAGGTGTGTGCATTTTAACATGTAGAACACCAGACTTTTGTCTTGGAGAGACCGTCCATCTCCTTTGAAGAAATGGGTTTGCCTGAGAAAACTGAAGTATGCTTCCTTCCTCTCACTGGGTGTTGCCTGTTTTTACTGACCTTAAGGGTTCAGGCCAAAGCAAGTTGGTTTACAGGGATGTGCTTTAGTGGAAAATCAGAGGTAGAAAAGGAAGTTTAATATTTTGCAGGAAATAGCATTTATTTTTGTAACAGAGCAACCTGGAGCCTTAGGCAGTGTGCTGCTTTTTGTTCTGCTTATAAATCAAATGCTTTATGTGTAAAACCAGTTCTTAATTAATCAGAAGTAAAAGGGATTTTTATTTAAGTACTACAAAATCTGAATTGTTGAAATATTGTAGTGAGTCTAACTACTACTGAATGTATTGTTTGTATTATAGAGCTGCTATATTTCATGAGTTGGTCTACAAACAGACAAAAATATCATCTCAGAATCAAGAACTGATATATGAAGGTCGGCGTTTAATACTAGAGCCTGGCAGATTGGCGCAGCACTTCCCCAGAACAACTGAGGAGAATCCTATCTTTGTAGTAAGCAGGGAGGCTGTGAACATTGTCGGATTAATCTATGAAGAAGGTATATGAAAGTAATTTCCCCTTTCTTACAGCTATCCTTTCTAAATAATTTGGGTTGTTTAATTATCATTTTATGTCTATTAAGTCTTAGAAATAGAGTTTGAAAATTTTCTCTTTTGATACCTGAAGTTCTAAGTATGCAGTCCAGTTTTTTTCAAAAGTCCTGAGTATCCAGCATATTTTTACAGAAACAGTAGCTGCTCATAATGTTCCTAGTACTGTGAACCTGAACATTTGTGTGTTAAGATGTAGTGGTGCATATGGAGTTCTGAAATTTTTTGAAGCATGACACTTTTAAAAAGTAGAAAGGAACATTATAGAATGTAATTCAAAGCTGGTTCTTTTGTTATGTTACTCACTAAGTGGAAATTCAAATTTATTTTTTTTTTTATTTTCATGAATGTGGTTAGTCTTTCCATTAACAGAGGAGATCTTAACAGCTTACCTTTGCTTAGACGATAAGTTAATGCCATAACAGGAAAAAAAAAAAGAAATTAAATTTTTTGCTTTTCTACTTATCGTTGAGAGACTTATAGTGGGCCCTGTGCCAGAGCCCTTTTTTTATACGAGATGAGGTGGAGGACATGCCTCCATTTGAAAGATCAGTGTTATTTTTGTCAGTATGTCCTGCATACTGACTGCTCGGGCCAGCTGGCACTCACACAGAGGTGCTGAAGAGTGTGGGTAGGTGAGCTGTTTGGAAGGACTAAGAGGGCTTTTATATTGTGTCAGAGCTTTCTGAAGGAGTCATGCAAACAGGAGATTCAGCTTGTAGAGGCTACCCTGGGTTTTAAAAAGCTGCTTGGTGAAGTCTTGCCCCTTAAGACTCTCGATGAAACTAAGCAGCCATGAGATACGAGGGAACGGTCTGCCATGTGGGCAAACACAGAGTTGAAGAACAGGAATAAATGGTTGGCTTTCTCAGTGGAGAGGGATCGCTAGTGGAGACCTGCATGACATCTGTGCCGTGCAGCGTGTTCCAAAGTGAATCTGGACAAGAAAGTGAAGGACAGTTTGCTGAAGATACCAAATTATTTGAAGCGTTTAAGACAAAGCCTGGTTTTGGAGGTATGCACGAGAACCACATGATATTGAAAAGCTTGGCAGTAACAGGTTAGATGAAAATCCGTGTAGATACACGTAAAAACAGTGTACAGGGAGGGGAGGGGAAACAGTCTGAACTTAAGGAAGGATTCTGCATTGCCATTCAGGAAAAAGATCTTGTAGTTTTATTAGGTAACTCTATGAAAACATCTGCTCAGTGCTTTGTAGCAGTCTAAACAGCAAGTGGAAAGTTAAGAATGTTCAATGGAGGGAGGAAAAACAAACCTAAAACATTGTAGTCCCTATGCATGGACTTGCTACATGCCTTTGCTTTGACCTTTCAGTTT